CCAGAGACAAGAAATACAATAGTGAGATTTATTGACAATGACAATGGAGTCCTTGGTTCGTCTGGCTGATCTCAGGGGGCAACTAGGCGGAGTTAAGCGGAGGTCTGGGATTTAAACCTCTTCAGGCGGTGATTCGGACCGGGTGGGGAGAGACCTTGAGGTCAGAGGTGGCAACGAAGGGCGGACAGGTAAGACTCTGGGCGGCGAGGGTTCCGTCTTGAGGGTTGATTGATCACCAGATAATTCAGGATGAGAGAAGCTGTAAACACAGAGACAAGGTGATTCAGAATCAGGGAACTGATCCAGGTAAAAGTAGCCCTAGGTAAGCCGGTACCGTTACTGGCAACACTCTGGCAGAGAAGTGTCAGCATCCTCCTCCACTTACATGCCTCCAAATGAGAAGATGTGCAGACGTCCACTCATGCCTTCAGGAGGAAGGTCTCAGGCTCCCTCTGGTGGAGAAAAGTTGACAAACCTCTGGATCCCAACAGGTACGGATGTAGCAAAACTTTCTTCAACTCAATAGCTCCAAAACTAGTTTAGCACTGATGCCATTTTTTGACCCCAATAAGGATACCCAATATCTGGCTGTGCAGTATCGGCCGATACCATACCATCTGTTTGAAATCCATGTGTGTATAAATGAAGAACTGCATACTACTTGAATGTAAAATAATTGCTATCATAGCTTTGTCAAGCTGCTGCCTACCTTTGTGACGCAGGAAAAAGACTTAGGCTACGTTCACATTGCAGTCTGAAGTGACCCAAATCAGATTTTCTGGCTCATATGCGACCTGGATCTGATCTTTTCATGGCAGTCTGAACAACACAGATCAATTTTTTTCCAATTCAACCCAGGCCACTTGGCTATGTGGTCCTGAATCCGATACGAATCTGATCTTTTAAAATGCGACCGGTGTCTGAACGGCCAGGTCGCATTCATCCAACCTGAACGCCATTGATACCCGACCGTCACTATTCTGGGTCTTGCTATGAAGAAGCGGCAAGAAAAACAACCACCATGGCGGACGATGATGCGGAGAGCAGTACTTATGTTTAACCATCTTGACAAGATTGTGTTTTAGGTAGGGAAAGATCGCTAAATGCGCTCTGGCACTACCATCCTTGTTTACTTCCGTATACACAGAGCACGCTGGCCTGTGATGTCATTGCGTCCTCTACTGCGCATGCGGGACACTTAAGTGTTATGAATTTAGTTCACACAGGAGATCATATAGAAGTCGCATATATTTGGAAATGTGAACGACAACGCAAAAAAAATCGTATTTCACAAAAAAATCGGAATTGAGCATCAAGGCCTGCAGTGTGAACGTAGCCTAATACAAAATGAATCCAGTAGAACTTTTTATTGCCTACCTGGAATAGGCTCTAGAAATGGTATCAGTATCAATACCACCAGTTTAGTGCAGAATCAGAGCTCTGCTCATCAAACCAAATCATCATCCATAACCAGCATTACCTTTTCTGGTACTAACATCTCTCATGCTTTCATCAACAGTTTGCGATCTTGGTACAAAAATGGACTCCCAACTCACATTTGAAGGCCATATAAATCACCAATGCGAGACTTCTTTCTGCCACCTCCGTAACCTTTCCAAACTCCGTCCCATTATCTCCTTCC